AATACAAGGTTATGGTCATCGCAATCAATATTAGGGTTCGGGAGTCAGTTACACAATGGGGACGTATTAGCAACTCTCACGTTCATTGTACTCAACGGGAACCGCTTGGTTAGTTGTACATGTTAATGTTAGATTAAAATGATAAGCTTTTCAATTTACTAGAGGGGAAAGAAAGGACAAAGGGTTCATTTTTTATTGGGGAGCAAAGAAAAAAATGGACCTAAAAAGGTTTTTACTATTTGGGGGCATGACAAGATTTCGTAATCCTGCTCCTACGTATCTCAAAAGAAAAATTAAGGCACATGTATTTCTAGTTAGAAAATTTTTTGTTTGTTGGTTGATTTTGTGAAAGCTATCTTGTATTAATCGACGGAAAATATTGTTTTATCCAAAACAGGTAAGGACCAGATGTTTTCATTACATTAAATGGATTTATAAATCACATTCACGGGAAAATGCCACTTATTTCAACTCACACGATTGTGGATGAAGCTTTGTTTTACATCATCTTAATACAAAATGTCTTTCGTTTTTGAAAAGGTTTTTGGTTATGGCAAAAGGCAAAAATGTTTCTATGAATTTGATGTATTTTAGGGTTTGAAAGACAAGTATTTATGACTTGCAAGCTCTTACACTTTGGGTCTAATACTCGGGACTACATCTGGACCTTTCACCCAGATAATCTTTTTCTTTCAATTTTAGGCAAAACTACAGTTTTAGTCCTTTAAGTTATTTTAAAATATCAAATTAGTCCCTTAAGTTTTTTTATAACGCTTTAGTCTCTTTTTAAAAATATTTGTTACAATAAATTGCAAACTCATATACCATTTGAATTTGATTTTTTTGCGCTGATCACGAATATGTGATAAAATATATCAAACAAGGTTACGGTTTATGAGAATCAGGTAAAAATGGACGAAAAATATAATAAAAAATCATCGATCCGACCAAATACATAATCAAACGCAAAACTAATTACATATTCGTGATCAACGCGAAAAACTAGTTCAAGTGGTATATGAGTTTGTAATTTATTGTAACGAAGATTTTTAGAAAAGGACCAAAGCGTTACAAAAAAAACTTAAGGGACTAACTTGATATTTTAAAATAACTTAAAGGACCTGGACAATAGTTTTGCCTCAATTTTATTATGAAAGTGGTTTGAATACTTATAAGTGTTTTGAAAGGAAGACAAACTCTTATGGCTTGAAAGCTCCTACAACTTGGGCCTAGCATTCGGGACTACATCTGGACCTTTCACCCAAGTAGTCTTTTTCTTCCGATTTTACTAAGAAAATGATTTGAAGAAAATAAAAGGTGAAATCTCTAAAAAAATGTAAATTGTTCAAAGTTTGGATCTTGTGAAGAATATATCTCATTCATGTGTCCACTATCTTGTTAATAAATCAAAATCTATGTAGGATAAAATCAAATTTTAATGTAGGATGCAAATCAATCACACAAGCAATAATCAAACAAATCAATATCCTATAAAGACTAAATTAAAATTGAAAAGACACCTTTGAATGCGAATCTCTTAGAAAACTAAAGATGATTAGAACCCTAATTAGCCACACCTAATTGAATCCTCTCTTTTATACTATTTTTTATTTTATCGAAACATATTCATAAAAGAAAATGAATTAGTGAATAATAATTGAAAAAAAGGTTTAAAAATATTTTTTAATATATTACTAAAATAAGTTATTACAAAAAATAAAGTTGTTGCTCTATTTTTTTAATAATGAATAATAATTAAAACAAAATTTAGAGAAAAAGAACAAGAGATGAGAACATGGGCCAAAAAGTTGGGATAAACAACAAATGAGTTTAAGCCCCACGATCAAGGGAGGATGGGGTGTAACACCCCAAATTCTTGGAATATTTATTTAATTTATTTAAATATGAATATTCGCATTTTTGGTGATTTTCGGTGGTTGGTGTGAATATTGAAAATTATGGATTTTGAGTTATTTATTTAAATAGTAGCATATAATATGAATATATTGGTATTATTATTAATTTAAATAAATATAAGGGAATTAAGGGCAAAGTGGACATTTGAGAAGGAGTTAGTGAGGTTGAAGTTAGAAAGCTCAATTTTAAGGCTCAAAGTTAGATTTAACAAAAATGAATTTTTAGAAAAATAAGATTCATTCTTGTTAGACAGTGAAAAGGGAAGAAATAGAGGTCAGAGCTCTGAGGAAGAGGATTAAGGCAAAAGTTTCACAAGGTTTCCAAGAATCAAGGAGAAAGGCTTAGAGTCGGCAATTAAGGTATGGGGAGTATTGCCTTCATTGTTTTCAATATGTGATTCAATGTGCTTAAAGCTAATTTAAAGGTTTAGGGATTTTTGAATGTTGAATTATTGTTGCCTTTCTGATGGTGAATTCAATGAGTTTGAAGATTTGAACTGATAGTCTGATAGGTTTGATGCTGATTTGAGATAAAAGAAATTAGGCCTTCGTGACCAAATCTGTTGTTGAGGTTACAGCCCTTTAGGGTAATTGGATAGTGAGTACTCTAATGATCGTGGTATAGTTGTAAGGAAATTGTGGGAATTGGAGGCGTAACTATGATACGAGATTGACCTAATAATTCCTAGAGTTTTTGCCTTTATCGCCCTAATACCTTAGGAATTATCTAGGGATGTTTTGGGGGCATTGGGGAAGGAAATCTTAATGGTTTTTGGACTGGTTTTAGTGTTTGAGGCTGATTTAAGAGTTTAGGGATTTTTTAGTATTGAATTGTTGTTGTCTTTCTAATGGTGAGTTCAATGAGTTTGAGGGATTTGAACTAATGGTCTGAAAGGTTTGAGGTTGATTTGAGAGTAAGGGAAATTAGGCCTTCGTGGTCAAATCTGTTGTTAAGGTTTTAACCGTATAGGGTAAATGATTATGAGAACTCTAATGACTATGGGGTAATTGTAAGAAATTATGGGAATTTGAGGCGTGGATATGATATGGAATTGGCATAATAAGTCGTAGATTTTGTGCTTTTATCGTCGCAATACCTTAGGAATGATTTTGGAATGTTTTTGGGGCATTGAGAAAGAAAATCGTAGAGGTTTTTGGGCTGGTTTTGGTGCTGGTGCGTAACAGCGATTTGCTGTAATCACGAGTTCGCACAGCGAAGAATGCTTTGCACGGCGAACATTCGCCCCAGACTCGCACAGCGAACTTGCTAGCGGTTGTAGCAGAGTTTTGCAAATTCTGATCTTGTGCAGTGATGTCTTGATGTTGTGATTTCTTTGATGAATTACCATCAGTATGACTATGATTCTTCTGAGATTAATACATGATTGTATAATGAATTCCCATGAGTAATTATGATGATTTATGATGTTGATTATTCTTCTCACCCTCAATTACTCTCTCTATTTTTCTCTCTCAATTTCTTAACTTCGTCTTCTCCAAATTAACTCAATTATCCATTAATTCACCATTAGAGATTTTGTATGTTCTAATATACATAACTTGACTATCTGAGTACTTGTCATCTTTAAAATATTATAATCTATTTAGCATTAAAATCTTTTCACAATAAATCAGATTAAAAAAGAATAGTTTAGCGTATGCTTCTCTTTTTCCTGAATACTTGAGCGCCTGTTGTATAACTTATCGTCCAAGTACTTGTAATTTTTAAAGGACTCTAATTTATAATTAAATGTTTTTCGCATATAATTTGGATGAAAAATGACTAATTAGGTGTATGTCCCGCTTTTTCATGAGTATTTGGATATTTATTGTATAGTTTGTCTATTTGAATATTCGTCATCTATATCAAATTATACTAAACCAATCAAACCTATATTTAATTGAACGTAATATTTTGTTCAATTAAATTCTTTTCAAATTGAACATAATTTTTGGTAGTCCAACAAGTATCACTGTGTGTAACTACTTTTTTCAACTTTTTTATAAAATTCTCTATAATTTAATAGTGTGACATAAGTGCAGAATGATGACAATTAATTCATTCAATAATGATGACAATTAATTCATTCAATGAAATTCAAAATACTAAAGAGTTATATATATATATATATATATATATATATATATATATATATATATATATATATATATATATATATATATATATATATATATATATATATATATATATATATATATATATATATATATATATATATATATATATATATATATATATATATATATATATATATATATATAAAGGTGTCTCACTTGGCAGCAGGAAAGAGAATTCTTATATACGTTAAAAGGAACTCTTGGTTGCAGAATTCTCTTTCCCGCATCGGATACGGGCTGTAAATGTAATTTACTTGATTTTACTGATTTTAATTGGCACAGTGATAAGGATGATAAAAAGTCAATGACTAAATACATCTTTATACTTGATAGGACACTAATCTCTTAATGTTCGATGAAGGAACCGATGGTAACACTCTCGTCTTGTAAGTTAATTTTAGTTCAATTACTTGTGCTACAAACTAACTGAACCAAAACTAACTTGTTTAGTTATTTTACACTATACAGTGTAAATTACAATAAAATATAAAATTTTCTGCACTGCTAATGAATGAAGATTAGGCCATGACATATTAACTGTATAAACTCAACAGAAATGTCCACATCATGGCTGTAAACACCAAAACAGGACAGTATGAACTTTTGAAATGGTTGTATATGCCCTTTAGAAGAACAAAGTTGATCTGCTTTCCTAGTGCAAACAATATCTGATAAATTATACTTAACTTCTGGAAGAACTCCGAATTTCTAGAAGGTTAATATGAAAAATAGGATCAAGGATGAATCATTAGACCCAAGTCATCGAAGTTCAAAACCACAACATGATACACAAATGCCTTTTGCCAGTGATTCTTAAAATTTAGGTCGAGTTTAACTCAACTTCACAAAACCGTGCGGAGTGAATCTGCAAATTTTATCTTAACCAATATATACTATAATTTTCTATACATAGACATTTTCAGCAGACCTATGCGGAGTGAAGTACTAACTTACATCTAAGTTTTCAATTATTTCAAAGTGCATCTGCAAATTCGGAGGCTTATCAGCAAAATAATACCTCGATAAAAATTCAAGCTTTCCCCCGCTTTTGCCAGCTTCCGATTCAAGCAGAAGCAGCATTTCGTCCTTCTCCTTCCGTATCCAGTCTCGCTGCTTGTCATTCCACTGTCTCGGTGTTCCGTGAAGGACAAAACGAAGTCGAGGAGCTCCTTGTACGAGCCTTCCCGAGATTCTCTCAAACACATCACGGTTTGTCAAGTATGCACCGGTTGAGTTCAAACCAACATCAACATAATGAATCTCACTGATGCTGTTTAGTAAAGCTTCTTTTGTTTTAGGTACTACGCAAATCTCCGCACCAGTTGAAATCACATTAGATCCAATATCTGAGAAGCCGAGTTCAGTAACCATCTGATTAAGTACAGTTCCACCTTTGCTAAATCCGAGGATGAATGTCTTAGGTTGATGTAAACTACAAGGAGTGTCTACTTGACTTCCTGAAATTATTTTTGTTACCTGCATTACAAGAAAATGAAGAGTATTGAAACCGTTCTGGTAAAGTAGCAGTACCTAAAGTCATAGCAAAATCTAAAGTTTGTACTTGTTCAAGGCAATTCGATAGAAGTGAGACGGTCGACGTGGATGCCGGGAATCCAATCGGACAGTATGCCTTTGGCTCTCCATATTGATTCACGGATGGTATAAAGTCGTTATAGACCGCAAAAGGTCCATTAAAAACAGAAGCCTCAATAACCCAAGCATTGATGGAAGAACCGAATTTTAACACGACGATTTCAGATAGCTTTTGCAAATCTGAAAGCTTCTCGATCAATGGGTTACCGGTCCTTTCAACTCGATCACCACAGAAAAATATGGCATTCGCAATAGGCACCTGTAAAAAGCCAAAATTACCCCCTAAATTTAAAACGTTTTAGGAATAATTTTGGGTTTTTCAATCAAATTTGAGTTGAGACTCAACCCTAACCTTCCAGATACTTAAAGAAAGAAACTTACAGTGAAAGTTTTAGTTTGAGAAGAAAGGCAAAGAGAAGCACCAACTCTATGGAATGTCCGGGTGTTAGAATGCAAGGGGACACTGAAAACTCCACTCCACCGTTCCATTGAAAAATCTGCACAAAAGAAGAAGAGAAAGTTACAGAAAACGATGTGATATGAGCCACTCCGAGGCTGTGTTACGAGATTCTAACCCCTTCAGGGAGAAATTCTGTTACGAATTTGATGGAACTGTTTCGGTGCTTGTTTAAGTTAATTTCAAATACTACAATGTTAGATTCATAAAATGTTATAATTCATAGGAAAACTCGGATCTAATATTAAAAGATACTATGGGGAAGTTGTAAATCTCTTGAGTTTATGAGTAGGTCGGTTGATAACACAAATAATAGCTAAATGTCCGGGAGAATAAACCTATGTTGGGATACGGTACGGGAAATCTTTTTTCCAAAGGATAAATATTGAAGTTTCCATTCATTCTATCTATTTTTAATTAATCTAAAGAATCATTTTATTCTATTTCATTAATTTAAACATATTTTAAATTTATTTTTTTTGGTAAAATCTCGAATTTTTTCTCAAATAATTCATATTTTTAAAAATATTTTCAAAATCACCCACATTCCAAATAATTTTTTAAATTATTTTACTTTTCGAAAAAACTCATCCGAACGTTGGTGTTAAATCAATTGATGACTGCACCTAAATATTAAAAGGATGTGCCAATTAAATTGAAGACTACATCTAGTGTTGTCAATCTAATTGGCGCCTATGTGTAAAGTTACAGTGGTGGCATCAATTGACTTGGCACTAGTGTGTGTTGTGTTATTTTTTTTTTTTTACATTTTATATAAAAGTTAGAATCAGAAATATTAATATTAATATTAGGTTATGTTTACATACGAAAAGCAAAAATGCTAATGTTGTTGACCGAGATGACCCAACCGACTACCCATTCCACATCCCCTAGCTACTCTAATGTGTGGCTCTAGCCCACGTTGTTGATTCATCCCAGGTGTTTAAGGATTTGAGGACCCCAAGAACATCACCATCACCATCATCAGATTCCCTAAGGATTTGATGGACGCTTAGTGTTAAATGATCGCTAAGTGTTTTGGCTATTGCAGTTATGGTAGGATAATACGTTGGGGGCATATCGATGTTAGGTGTCTAGATATTAATCATCTTATAGGCGGTGGTACGGGGTATGCTCTTGGTATTGTGGTTGGGTGTTTGGCATGTTAAGGTTGTAGGTTTGTATGTTTGTGGGGCAGTAATTTTGTTGGGTAGTGAGCAACCGGTCTGGTAATTTTGTAGGGGGTTAAATATTGAACCTTCTTGTGTGTATGTGATTTGACGTGGGTCGTATAGGTACATATCCTCGGCAAGAAACTCAAATCCAATTGATTTGTACCAAGCCATATAATCACGAGTTGGTTTTTCTTCGGTTGGCATCACAACGTCACTTGAGACATGGTCATGTCGGTGCTTCCATTTTCGCACTCAGGTCTAGTGAAGTCTTGCGGGTTAAAGTTCCATTGGTCCTTTAAGTTTTTTGGTAACGATTTTATCCTTTATGTTAAGTAACGTTTGCATCTTTTACCTTTTTCAGAATCTCAGTTCCAAAAACGCCTATGTGTCACAAATGGAGATGATGTGGCATTCAACAAAGATGATGTGCCATTGAAGGTTATTGATTTGGCATTTGTCTCCTTCTTTCTTATATTTCTAGATATCAAAATTCTAAATCCCCAAATCACATACTTTGAACCCTAAATCTCAATACTTCATCAATGGCCTCGTATGGTAGTAGTGGACCAAATTAAAGATGTCAGAACTCTAATACACTCATTTCGAGTGAATCCCAAACTGGAATCGAATTGACATGTTCGTGTGGAGCCAAAGTAGTGTTAAGAACAGTTAAAAAGAAAGGAAGAAACTTAGGGAAGTTATTTTAGGGATGTAGATACTTTGTGGTATGTCAGTTCTTCAATATTTTGTGTTTTGGTTTATGTAGATGTAATTAGTTTATGGTTTTGGTTTTGGCATATTTGATCTTTGGGTTTGTGTTAATGTTAATAGAGTGAAGCTGATAATGTGTGTTGCACGTTTTTTTAGTGGTATGAAAACCATTACAGTGATGAAGTCAAATAAGAGATACAACCCTCATTAATTTCCAAATGTTCCAAATGTGAAGAAAAGGATGTTGAAATCAACTTGCTTAGAAGTTTGATTGATAAGGATGAGAAATACACTAAGGAGATCATGGAGAACATGTTGAAGATGTTGAAGATGCTAGGCTATGTCATTATGCTGTTAGTTTTGATTTTTGTAGTGTTATGTGTATTTTGGTTTAAAAGTGGATACCATTGTCATTTTTTATTGTAATTCATGAGTTGTGGTACTTTCATGTAACATTTCTTGACAATGGTTTGTTAAACAATTTTGTGTTGCAATTATTGACAATGGTTAATGAAACAATTCTGTATTGCAATTCTTTAATTGTACATATGTTGTATTCAGCAATTCTATACCACTACTGCTATAGTTATGTTATAATTTGTACACTAGTCAAAACTAGAAGGACCTGATTGTTACATTTTAAAACCATATGAGACCTGAGTGTTACAAATTAAAATCATGAAGGGCGTGATGGTTACAAATTATAAACATGAAGAACCTGCTTGTTACATTTTAAAATATAACAGATGTGTTGTTTTACACTATTTTGAACCTCAAACAATTACAAGACAACATACCAAGTATTACATAATCTAAACATTGTCAAAGCATTGTTATAATGTTATATGCAATATGTAATTCTTGCCAATACACTTGTGATATGCAACATGTCACATGCTCTATCTGGTATGGAAGGACACAGTAGATACTCACCGGTTCTTAAAGCTTGTATATTGATGAGGGGAAAGACATCAATGGATTTGTTATTAGTTTGGCCAAGGCTTTTTCTTCATGAAAAAAATTGTACGAGTTGTTTTAAATAGATTTACCAAATTTATTCATGTTGTTCGAAGCGAGAGGAATTCATATTCATATTTTGCAGTGTTTTACATAAATGTTTCTGATATTCTTAAATTTTGTATTTTGATTTTATAAGTTCCACTTTATAGATTGGCAAGAAGTTACAGTGTGAATAAGATAGATGATTCAATGTTAATTTCCTTATTGTGTATTCGTTGTTATTGTGTATCAATTATTATGGTTTACTAGTATGTTCCTAACTATATAAAAAAATCGACGATGAATTTGCGGTCTCGGTGAAGAAAATAGTTAATTGCAGAAAATATTGTTAAGTTCAAAATACAAAAAATAATTACTGGTGAATTTATGAGGAAGTCAAAGACTTGGAATTATTTATGTACATCAGAATGTTACAATAACATTTTACACAAAAAAAAAAAATGAAACTTGCATTGCATTTCTAATAAGACCTTATCTAGTTCTCTTCACTTATATATTACAGTTACAAATAATACATTGACATGATTTCTATTTTCTCTCAACCTAGAAGCTACACAACAATTTCCTGGATGGAATCTACCAAAATTTCCATAAAAAAGAAATCTAATTTCTATGTTAGATGATAAAGAATTTGATCCTAAAGGAAATGGTTAATGCTATGTACAAGGGTTTTATCGAACTACGGTCGCAGGGCTTTGCGAATCTAGAAAATTTCTGCTCTGGTGTTGGACAAAATAAGGCAAATGAATGATACAGGCTAATGCCAGTTCTTCAGCAACAAAAGCATATTTTGCCACAAAATTTCTTCATAGAATTCATTTAGGGAGAAGAAAATTAGGGTTGTGTAACCTAATTTAGGGATTATACAGTCTTAATTATTTGAAGAATAAGACAAATGCCAAATCAGCAACCTTCAATGACACATCATCGCTGTTAAATGCCACGGCATCCCCGTTGGTGACACATAGGTGTTTTTGGAACGGAGATTCTGAAAAAGGTAAACGATGTAAATTTTACTTAACATAAAGGACCAAAGTATTAAAAAACCTTAAAGGACTAATTTGTTGTTTTAAAATAACTTAAAGGACCTAAACAATATTTTTGCCAACAAACTATTATGAATAGATTCAGTTAGTGAAAATTTATAAGTTCTAAATTGTAGTGATTTTAAGTGTAAATAATTGGCACTTATCAGCTTAATTATCCTAATAAATCTCAACTTTAGTGTATGTTTTGTGTAGTTTACATTATAGTGTGTAATATGCGTAATCATGTATATATCTTTGAGTTTGATAGTTTTTCTCTCATTTTTGTAGGTATACAAGCAATTATATTATGTCATTGTCTTATAGAGCATTGAATAATCTTTCCAACGCTTCTGACCGCGCGTAAAACAATGTTACAGTTCTCAAGTTATGGTCGAAACAAGTTCTGAGTTTGCCGTCATGTTCGCTGTGCGAACTAAAGGCGAGCGAGCTCGCCAAGAGTTCGCCAAGCAAACCCAAGGAGAAGAAAAATTTCCCCAAAGCATGGAAAACATTATTTTAGACAATAGCTATCTTTGGTATGTTCGCATGGCGAACCGGTGTTCGCCCAGCGAGCACGGAAACCCATTTTTGCCTATAAAGTCACATTTTCATTTTTTTTAAGTTATCTTTTGGGATCCTTTGGAACCAATTGATTAGAATCATATTCTTTAGTAGTTTTATCTTAGAAACAACACATGGATGATGCATCTAGATGATTTGGAGCCAAATCATACTTCAATCGGAGATGACAAACCGTGAGAAGTTCAATCGAAGATGACAAACCGTGAGAAATTTGTTCTTCTTCCTTCTTCTCTTTATATTTTATGTTCATCTAGGGATCTTTGTATAAAATCCCTTTTATAAATCTTAATCGATGTTATCTTTGATTTAATATCTATCTTAATGGATTTGGATCACTGTAGACATATACTTTTCGAACTCGACCTAAGATGATGATCTATTGGCTATAGGAAATGGTCTAAATATTCACGCGTGTGTGTCAGAGCTTAATGCTCTGTGATGTTTTATTGTATGAGATATCACCTTCGAAAGAACGCAGTTGATCTCTTGGACTTTGCGTTATACATAACCTCCATT